ATAAAAATTCCTATCACATGTATTCTGATTAGGCTTAAGCCTCAATTACAATTATAATTATGTAATTGTAGCTGTAATTAAGCTTCTTATTACAAATACAACTGTCATTGGTCCCAAGTCTACTTACAATTAAAATAAACCACTGGTTGGTTTATACCTATATTAATTTATATGCACTAAAATGCCATAGCCCAGGCTCTGCCTTATAGTCAAATGCAGTTGTTAGAGTCTCTCAATACTGGTCAACAGTACAAATAGGAACTGCAGTTGCCCAGTTCCAGGCAACTCAATGCATAATGAGCTGACACGTGATCCCAGCTTCCAATCCTGTTCCATGTATAATATTTATGACTAAACTAACCTGAATCAGTATTACTACGCAGTGATCTCAAATAATCAACCTTCATTTTTGATAATTTATCAGATAATTCTTCGTTTTCTTCTTTTATTTTACGAAACTGAGAGATCAAAACAGTCAACTCTTTATCAAGTGGAAGTGGTTCTTCCTATTAATAATTATTATAATTAATACAAACAAGAGTGAATTATCCACTCTTGATACAAACTAGTGAGATATACCTCAAATTCTTTAATTGATTCAGTATCACTCTGAAGAGACAATGATTCTTCCTAATAATTAAGATGTTAATTTTATCATACAGTATATTACAGGAGTTAAATTTGGAAAATTGTTGATTTTATATTGGTGATCTAGAGCATGCTTAGAATGAGACATAGTCTAGGGCTCACTGAAACGAATAGTGAGATATTTCGTTAAAGCAATATTCGAATAGTTTTTTTGCTATTCGAATTATTTGCATAATAAAATTATTAATGGTTATTGCATAGATATTAGAGTAAATGAAAGGGATTGGAAACTACTGTTCCCGCCCGGTGATGCTGTTTTCATCACCCCTGGTTACCTGGTTGGCAACGTCTGTGTTTATCCTCATTCCCCATCTCCTCCATAGTAGTTGTTGTGTGGAAAGGATCTCGAAGGAATATTGTGTGACTATTAGATAGCGCTTGCTTATGATATATCTTCTGTTCCACATAGAAAGTTTATGACTACCTATAGCAAGGTTTTTGTTTCTATAAAGCTATTTTTCGACCAGTTATGGGTACACAAAGTCGGGATCTTTTTTGACACTTTTTCGCCTCTACAGCTTTCATGCTTTTGCTATTCTAAGTGTTGCCTCATATCATTCCATAGGTAATTGAAAGTTCTCTTATATTCTGACAAGCTTTTTAGAGTTTAGCTACAAATGTCTTCATTAGAGGGAGAAAACAGCAATTTTATGGGCAAAAGCACTATAACATTCAAAATATTAATTTAAATATACCAAATAAATAATAATTAACAGTGCAAAACATTGAACTCCTTGATAGTCGAGTTTATTTTTCATTAGAGCACTCTTCTTGGAGTTATTCTAATTTTAATGAAAAAATCAAGAATTTTGTGGTCAAAAGGTAACAAACCGCCTAGTCAGCAATTTTTTTGCTTAGCAACAATACAATCAAATGGCAATATTACTACGCCCACGTGGAAGTTTCCAATCCCTTTCATTTACTCTATTATCTATGGTTATTGTAATAATTAACGGCCACGCCCACTGCATGTCACCTGCACAGGCTGCTTTCTTCGAGGCTTCTTAGTCTATTTCTTGGTCTGTTTACTTACCAACTCACTAGATCTAAATACTGATGCTGTGGCAAGGGAAAGTGGTTCTTAATCTCTAAGAAGTCCTGTTTGGCATAATTTTGAAAAGTTTAACACCAAAAAGGTAGTTTATAATCATTCAGCAATAACAGTTGAATTATTCGAATATTCGTCCGTTTAGCATAAATAGTGAAAACTACTATTCGTTTCAGCCCTACATAGTACAGTAGTAGTTTAAATATCTGATAAACTACTACAGGAAAAACTAATGAAACATATTATTGACACATATAGACCACCCAGAGTGAGAATTGCGAAAACTATGAATTTCATTAATTTTATATATGGTATCCGCCCACAGGCCATAATTGGCTGCCATT